CGGGGGGTGCCGGGCTGGGTTGCTGCCTCTCCTTGGGCGCCTGCAGGCCCAGCTTGGTGTCCTCGGTATAGGAGGGGCTTCTCTGCTGCTCCTGGTTTGTGCTGTATCCTGCTGTTCTTGGAGGGCATCCAGGTCGTTTATTCTCTCAACAGCAGCCCGATCTGCAGAGCCCGAGTAGCCAAAATAAGCCCTGCATCCCTAGCAGTGCTCTCGGAAGGGGCCTGCCCTCACCACCCTGCAAGGCTTGTCCGACTCCAGACTCACGGCAGCGGCTCTGCTCCGCTTACCAGCCCCAAACGGGTGTTCTTGAGCAGCCACTGCAGCAAAGCCCACACAGATATGCAGCTTGTCCCGGCAGCTCGCGTTGTCCCGTTCCTCCCGAATGCTTTGGGAAAATCAGAACCTCCATGCGCACTTTTGGGTGTAGTATAAAAATCAGATATCCAACACTCTCAAAGCACTGGCTGATCACACCTTGTGGCGGTCTGACTGATGCGTGCGTGCATAAACCTTAGAGGGCAGCACAGCCTTGAGAAGCACTTTCCCCAGCTACTTTCTGTCTCATCTGCTAGTAAAAATGTTTGGGATTTGGCTTTCTCACTGAGGAGAAATTCAGATAAATTTGGAACTTGAAAAATTCTCTCTAGTGATGGAAAACCAAGTTCTAAACGGACAGGAAAAAGTGATTAAAAGGAGAATGGAAGGAATGCTTTGTGGAGTTAAAAAAAAAAAAAAAGATACCCCATTTACTGTCGGAAGCAAGAAAACCAGGGGAGCTATTAAAGATGTTGCTCAGAGGAGTGATGTGCCTTCCTCTGGGGAAGGCAGTGTTAGAAGTGCCGTTAACACTGAAGGAAACTTGACCACAGCTCCGCACTGGAGCAGGGGCTCCCGGGGTGCTGGCGCGGGAGCTAGGGATGCTTCTCCCTCCAGGTTTGTCCCCAAGAAGAGCCCGGCCTGGGAGCTGCCGTGGGCTCGTTTGGCTCTGCACCCTGTTGTTACTGCTCCCGTGGATATTGCATTTTCTCCTGGGCTTTGCCAGTGCTGCCTGGTTTTGTGTGAAATGTGGGGAAGAGCGAGGGGCAGGGCTCTGGGGCGCGTCGCCTCTGGCGCGCGTGAGGTCAGCGTGTGGCCTCCGCCCAAGGGCAAGTCTGGCCTTTGGGAGACTCGGTTCTAACCTTGGCTCTAATCACAGCTGGTATTTACTGGCCCTGCTCCGAGCACGTTTTTGTCCCCACCTTCCCCAAAAGTGCCCTTTTTTTTTGGTCTTAATCCTCTCCTGGATTTCCTGCATCTCCCTGCAATGGGGTCTCACAGGGTTGAACCTCATTGCACTGTTTCTTACAGCACAATGTCTGCCCTTTCTGCACAGAGTAGCAGAGAAAATACTGCAATTATTAGTACTAGCCAACTAGCAGTATTATCTGAGAGTGGTGCCCAGCCCAAACGAGGCTTTTCGTGCATCCAAGACACAAGAGCAGTGTTCTCTTTAATTCAGAACTATGAATTTAATTCCCTTTATTGCTTGGTATCTCAGTTCAAAAAGGCTCTATCTCACCATTTCCGTATTTCCCATGGACAGGGAGAAAAGGCAGCTGGCGCAGAGCATCCTGCAGCTGGGACTCACCGATGCGGGCGGATGCCGGAGGAGCTGCGGTCCAAAGTGGGTGGCAGCCACGGGTTGTGCCCTCACTTCTTTGGCTGCTCCTTTTTCCTTTGAGGAATAAGGTCAGTCTTTTCTAATAACCCACCGGAGCGGCCGCGGTGACAGCGGCTTCGCGGGGGTTTCGCAACGGGCCTCGGAGCGGGCAGGACGTGAGGTCAGACGCGCGGCCGCTGCCTGCGCGCCGGCCGCCCGCCTCCTGGGAGCATGTGGATTCTGTCTCCGTTGCGCAAGATGTTTTTTTCCTTTCAAAGAATAAGGAAAATATCTCATGACGACACAGTAAGGCCCTCGCGGGGGTCTCTGGACAGGACGATGTTGAAAACAGATGGATTTGGAATGTTGATACAGGGCTACCTTTCCCCCTTGCATCAATTCCGATCCTGCTTTTGGCACTTAGATATCTTTTGCATTTCAATTTCTTTCTGGGGAACAGCGACCCAGACAGCTGAGCAGCGCTCCGAGCTCCACATTAACCATCTCTCTGCCTGCACAGGGGGGTTTTGGAAACACCCACGGATCCTTGCAGCTTTCCTGGTGCTCAAGCAGCAGGAGCCCTTGCGGAGCTACCCTGTCCCGTGCAGCCCGTCTCTGTGAGGATCCCCTGTGACTCCCACCCAGCTGAGGCTCTTCCCTCCTTCCTGGGTGTTCGCTCATCTCCCACGGGACCAAACTCCTGCTAAGCAGGGAGGACAGTAAAGCTAGAGGTCTTGGTCCTAACCAGAGGGAAGCACTTGTAATCTGGGGGAGGTTTGCTGCTGCCTTTGATCTCATCTGGCCTCAGGGAGGCAGGGTCCCTCTGGAGCATGAGGAACGCCGATGCCCTGGGTGCTTTTGGAGTGTTTCCCCCACCGGGGATGCTTGCAGGGCTGGGAGACAACACGGACAGCTGACAGCAGCATGAGAAATGTTTCAGTTTTCAGGCTTCATCTGGGAATTTGAGCAAGGAGCCTAGTTAATGCGAAATCACGCAGAGGAGCGGAGCTGTTTATTCTCCGGTTTTATTTTGAGGAGGGATAAGAGACCTGGCAACGCAGCGAAAGCCAAGGGCGCCGGCGGCGCCCCCGGGCCCTCTGCGTTCGGGAACTGGTGCCAGGAGAAAGTCGACCGCGAGTCTCCCGCTGATTCCCGTGCCGCCGCCGCTCCGTCCTGCCGCGCCGGGGGGACATCACAGCC